GCGAAGATTGCATGAATGGTACATGAAAACCTGCAGCGAGTCCGGGAAGGATAGTTTGATGCTGAGAATTAAAGAGGAGCATGACCTCGTTGGAGTCGAGCTGTTGCCTGTTGAATTTGTGGAGTTATTCTAGTTATACAGTCAAGCGGCCCTGGACAAACAACTCATGACTTACTACTGTCTGTAAGTATTACTTCTGTAATTAAGTTTCTACAGCTCAGCTCTTTCATTGCATGTATATATAATTATCCTCACTATATTATGCAGATTGAAGATCGTCGAATGCAAAAAAGCACAAATCTATGACATTGGGTTTATTAACCCAAATACCATAAATGAATGGTCGGTTAAAAAAAGAGTCGAAGATACCGAGGACAACTTGCTACAATCGTTGCTTCGAAATCAAAACAAAGGGAAAATACTCTTTTCTTACAACTTCAAGTGAGTGTTACTGTCTTGTGCATATTCGGTTTCCCTTACTCGAGGTTATAGTAATGTAATTGATGAGTTACGCATGCGTGCACATGTTTCACTTTATTCTGCTAGAGATTAAGCTTGACAGGGGAGTAGTAACTGTCTTAGACTCGAGATGAAAAGATCCCCAGGAGTATGCGGACATGACTAAAATGCTCCAGAAGTAAGTTCAATCGATCATTATCGCACTATATCGGAAACTTTGTTCATTTCCTGATATCAAGTAATTATTTTCTTTGTCCGGCGGGGTTTGGAAAGAGTTCACCGGAATTATTCCGGGACTGCCGAGGGAGCTGCGATTTACACAGCCGAAAGTAAGTACTACTAGCTAGTTCCGCGCATCTTCCATTGATTCTAGTTTCATCAATACCATTTATCATGCTTGATTATCAGTTTGATTGAACTCTATTTCTCGTAAAGTGCTTGTGGCATGAAGCCGGGAATGATTTTTGTTGATACTACGTTTGCGAGTTCATCTATAACGTGACCTCTCAGCGGGGCTACTCTAAAAAACAATATGAAGTACGTAAACAATAATATTATTGTGAAAACTTGTTGTTCGACCAATCTCTCGGAGAATGAGAGGTCGCTTCTCTCTGTATATATATGTTCATGACGATCTTCTGTAATTAATGGTTTCTTCAGTTGCTTACTAGTTAGCGTGTCGAGTTCTCTCTATATGTATAGTAGTTAGCATCGACCAAGCACGAAGAAAGAGAGGTCACTTCTTTCTATTAACTAGCTAACGCAGTATGAAACCCCTAAATTAACCCTCCAAAACCCCCTAACCCCCTCCCCCTTAAAAAAAACAAAAACCCCACCTCCTGCCAGATGCTGACGCGTGGATGACTTTTGGTCCAGGTTGGTGTTACTAACCGGGACCAAAGGTCCTCCTGCCTGGACATCCTGCAGCGGCCACGTGGAGCCCCTTCTGTCCCGGTTCGTAAGCGAACCGGGACTAAAGGTTTTGGGCTTTAGTCCCGACCTTTTTGTCTTGCTTCCAGAACCGGGACTAAAGGCCCTCTAGAACCGGGATTAGTTTCCTATTTTCCACTAGTGTGTTTCCTCAATCTCAATTTGTAGATGTCTCTGCCCATCTGCCGACTCGTCAGTAAGTGGGCCCGACCACAGTTTTTCCAGCTCCTCCTTAAAGCTTTTCTGTCGACGCTGTGGTGACTTGAGTACTGTTCGATCCCAGTCATGCAAATCCATGTGTACCTCTGCAGTACATTCAGCAAACGGCATAGTACTGGTCCTGCTTCTTTCCTTTCTGCCTAGAACTATCCGCCTCACCCTCGGTGTCCAGTACTAGCGGCCTGTGATCAGACTTGAGATGCGGCGCATTGGTTATCACTGCGTTTGGAAACAAACCATGGAAGCCTACATTACAAACAACCCGGTCCAAACGTTCCCTGATGCGTCGCCTTCTCCATGTAAATTGTTCACCGGTATATCCCATGTCATCTAGTTCGCAATCCACTAGGGCGTCGTGGAAATTTCGCATCATACACACAGGTCGTGCTGCACGGCTGCACCTCCCTCATTTTCATGAGAGTTAAAATCTCATTAAAATCGCCTATGACAACCCATGGTAGAGATGCCTGAAGGTACAGATTCTAGTTCCATGTGAGTGATCTATCCTCCCATTTGGGTTCATCATAAAAACCTGTTAATCTCTCCACTTCTCATCCGATGAAGTTCCCATCCTTACATCGATGAAATTCTTTGTTTTTCCAATTACTTTCAACACAACAGGATTGCGCCAAAGGTCTAAAAGACCACCACTTGCCGCAACACTTTCCACCACTTCCACATGGTCCATCTTAAGTTTTCCCATCCATTTTCCACCCTCGCTGTGTTCAAATGTGTTTCGGACTGAAAAAACACATCCGGCCCCAGTGCTTTTGGATGTCCATAAGTGCCATTACTACCACGGTACTGGCCATACCGCGACAGTTCCAATAGATGGTTTTCATTGGTTTCGGCGATCACCCTTGAGGGGAGTCGTCAATGTGTCATTTGTTCCTTGACCCGAGTTGCAAGTTTTTAGATCTCAACCTTTTCAAATATTAAAGTTTCTGTGGAGTATTAAGCAGACTCTCGTCCACTGGTTCCGTGGCAACGTTCTCCAACAAGTGAACTTTGTCAGTCACAAAGCTAGCTGGAGGTATTTGAGGAGACATCCAATGGCGGAGCTATGTTGG